TCTGATGCGGGGATGTTAAATCTTATACAATACAAAGTAAATTATCGATATGTGTACATTCTTTTAAGTACTCTGACTGTAACGACCGCATTACAGATGTCGTCCCTAAAAGATTACGAACAAAGCTGTAAGAAGATGGTGTGCACGATAACACGTGAATTAATGTAACAGAGAAATGACGTTTGCGAGTTAAGCGAGTTAGAACTACAAGCACGCGTAGACGATCTCGTGCTGAGATTACACAAGCTGAAAAGTATCGGTGGACAATCATGGGCATGTAACACATACTTTTACATCGCTTAACGAGATTGTTCAAGATCAAGTACAATATATGACGTTATTGCAGATTAAAATTAAGACCAAAGTTAACCCTGTTCTGTATTTACGGAATTTAATACAAGCGCAACAAAAGCTTATAATATAGAAACATATATGAAGTTTTCTGCAAAGAGTTTTACGTACTCGTTACAGCTAATTCAGCTCAAATGAAGCCGGCTGTGTGGAGAAGCACAGCCAAACAGAAAGATAAAGTAAGATAGACACGGAAAAAAACGGTTCAAAGAGATGCAATAGATCAGTTTGCGTTTCTTTAACTTTAATTTCCCCCAAGTTCAGATGTTAAACTAATTCTGCAAGGAAAAGGTGAGTATGTACTGGATTATTCTTTCCCGGAACCTTGTTTTGGTTTTGTATTGCTTAACGCTTTCAACAAATTAAGTCATTTTGGAATAAACACCAATAATAGACATTCCCCCCCCCCCCAAAAAAAACCCAAAAAAACACCTCAGAATTAAGATAAAAGGTGTAAATGTAACAAAAACATCAAAAGCAAACGAACAAGGTTTCATATCATTCTGTACAAAGAGAGAGACAATATGAAAATACCAAAGTTTTATGCGATATACATTGTAATAACAGACCTTTTCTAAATAAAGAGGCCTGCGAATCCGGCATTATTTTTCTTTTGATTTTCCGAAAGTTGCCAAAGGGTGTAGGATAGGGACATTTCACCTTCGAGTTTTCAAGTTTGAGGTTTTTACCACATTTGAAAACCCCATCGGATGGCATCTCCCTTTCCTACACCCCTGGGCATGAAATAATAATCTTAATAATTATTAATACGTCTAATAATTTTAAACGTATTAACTTCAGACTTCATCGGAAAATTAATTACCATGAGAGCGCAAACGTGTTTGATAACTACCGTTATCCGACTGATTTACGGAGCTATGCCCCTTTATTTAATTGCCGAATCGTTTTACCGGTCAGTATCTCGAGTCATTTCCAACGGATTAACTGAATTTCTCATATGGAGGTTAATTAACACGAGAACAATTTTTATAACGCCTTTTTTATAACGCCTTTTATCTGTCTGTATTTTATGGAGTTATAACCCTCAACCTGAGATTGAGTGTTGTCACAATAACATGACCATAATTAATAAGCTTGTTTTCCTTGGTTTCATTTATGAAGTTAGGATTTACCATAAGTATAACGGATACTATTATCCATATGTTATAAAGCGCTTTAGAATAAGTTTACAAATTATATAGGGCGCTATATGAATGTTGTATATTATTATATTATTATTATGAAATACAAACATGCATTCCATGATGTCTCATTGCAGTCATTGATCTACTGGGTATATTTAATTATTTCTCCTTTAACATCAATCACTCACAAATATTTTTCATATTTCAACGATTCAAACACCTGCTCGCTGAACGTGTGACGGGCGTACCGCATCGTTAGTAAAGATATGCCAAAAAAAATACACTGAATAATACAACTGTTCCGTACGTTTAGGACTCGTCGGTGATGATAGGGGCAAACACATTGGAATTCCAAAGTTTTGTCTAAATTACTGTTAATACGGAGGGGATGGTCAATAAAATCCCTTAAGGTTCAACAAGCCCCCTAAAAGATGTAATAGTCACCCTCAATTTCAACCCCCTGGTAAGTCAAAGACCCTAATTAAAAATCGGAAAAAAATGCATGTAATTAAAATATATTAAACTTGTACATAAGCTATTAAAAAGGTACGTCACAAGGGTAACGGAGTCAAAAATACAGCATTAAAGCTGATGTCTTCATGAAAATAGCTCGTTCCCGGACACATGTCAATCTCTTTAGCGACCTAACTATTCATAGTTTATTGATATACCTTGATCTGTGAAGAGAGGTATACCGGCCTCAAAAGTAGATGATTGTTGCTATGGGAATGTACAAAAAGCATAGCTAAACGTCAGAGTAACATATTTTACTGGTATATGTGCAAATCCTTAGACCTATGTCCATAAAAAACGTCATATAAAGTGTCCTTTCTTAACATTTAATGTTGTTATAAAATAGCTAGACTTTTTATAAACATTATAGTATTTTCAGCTTCAGTGTTTATAACATGTCCAGCATGAGAAAATGGCATATCATTTAAAGTTCATTTATCGAACAAGGTTACTTAGCATTTGTCTGCTTTTTCATAATCTGCTTAACATCACACCATGAGAAAATGGCATATCATTTAAAGTTCATTTATCTATCAAGGTTACTTAGTCTTTGTCTGCCTTTTCATAATCTGCTTAACATCACAACATGAGAAAATGGCATATCATTTAAAGTTCATTTATCGATCAAGGTTACTTAGTTTTTGTCTGCTTTTTTTATAATCTGCTAATATTTAAGTGGTTTCGCATGACAACATATGTCTTTATTTGAGGTCGGAAATCCTCTTAAAAGCTAGTAGAAGAGAAATAACGCTCCTCATGACCTTTAATAAACTATTTATTATGGGTCATTACTTAGAACTCGATTGGGTCGCAAAAGAGATTGACGTCAAGTGAGCTATTTTTTAATGAACACATCAGCCTTAATGGCTTATTTTCGACAACATTAACCGAGCTAGGTACATTTTGTATAGCCATTGACAAGTTCAATATATACAAATTGCATATATAAGTACGTTTTTTATCGAGGTCTTTGAATATGACTTATCAGAGGGTTGGAATTAAGGGGTGACTAACAATAACTTTATGATTGTTCAGAAGAGTACTGGTTACTTTCAAGCTAAGTAACGAGTACTGATAACTATGTCAATACTCATTGCCATGGCTATCAAGGTATCCACAAGAAAAAGTCAACCAAGAATGTAGCAATACTGAATAACATTGAAAATTAAAAAGCCATAAGCAAACAATTAATTCAAAGTAAACATCGTCTTGGTGACTCAAAATCATTGTGTATCTGTTCGTATAATATACATATTTAAAGTTTATTCCGTCTATGCGTATTGCAGATTTATCTTCTCTTGTAAGCAGTTGTTAAGTCCCTACAGGTAGGGCGTAAGAATTGTACCTGCTGTCCCCAATTGCATGATCGTAAGAGGCGACTAAATTTGGGACCTTATCTCTTCTCTCCTTTCTAAATAACTTTCTTCTTCCTAATGTCTCCCTTGACAATGCCTCACTTTTGGCCATTTGTTGAGCGTTCGCCCCTGTGAGGAAGGCTTTGGGTTCTGTCCCCTGGCCGAGACATACCAAAGTCTTTAAAAATGGTAGTTTCTACTCCTGCTTAACGCTCAGCAAATTAGGAGTGGGACGACTGGTTCGCCCGTTGTCAGTATAATGTGACCGGGTGGGGCGTCCTGCTGGGTGTCTTCGGCAGTATGTTTCAGTGAGGTAGCACTATAAAGTCGGCATCAGTTCCGCGCTATCACAAGGAGACGAACACGAACATATCGCAGCCTCCCAAAATACACACACATACACTACACGCATGCATCTTGCACACAGGGGAGGCCGTCCTTAAATGACCTTAGCTGTTAATAGGACGTTAAACAAAATCAAACAAACAAACAAATGTTGATTGTTACGTCATTGGTTTGTGTGAGAAAATTACGTCGTTTTCTCAAATTTGATGACGTTACTCTCACAAACAAATGACGTAACAACCAACACCTGCTCACAATAGCAGATAAATCTGCAATACGAAAAGACGGAATAGGGATAACAGGGACATGACATTTTATAAAGCCAAAGAGACAACCAATGTCCAAGCGTTCCATAGATAACCGTCTATATTTTTGACGTGAATAGTATTAAGGTCCGCTCAACTAGAAACCGTATGACATATGGTACCAATCCGTGAGTCCCGCCTATTGTTGTAATCGATAATACTCCCGAGTATACATCACAGAGTGTTCATGATTCAGATAACAGTTAAACATGAAATATGGGATGCGTGCTTGATGGAGGCCAGTTATAATAATTGCATACTGTATACACAGGTGGTGATACTCTTCTGATTTTTTATTTGTCAGTTTCAATTAGTTTTATTAATTGGCACATCGGAACGGTGCATTTGAAGGAAACTGTTACCAACCTGTAAAGTTTGTTTTATAAGAAGTTGTATACATATGGCTCCACTTACGTAAATGCCAGGACATATTTCATTCTGGGAAGGCTGCATTCCAAACTCCCGGTATATGTACAAGACAGGTTTAACTGCCTTGCATCAATCATCAGTCATGGTATCATTTCAAACACTAAAAGCTCCGAATTGAACTAATTCCAGAAAGGCAGAAGGGTAAGAGTATTGTTTGGCCGTGAGGTAATAAAACTAAATAATAAAAAAAACTTCACTTGTCGACACAGGTACCCGATAGATCGAGTATGAGCATCGATGTTTCATAAGTTGACGGTATCCGATAAATGTGAATAAATATGAACCAAGTGGAGACTCTTGAAAGTACACTGGTACCGGACATGTGTAAAATCCCATCGTTATCATTTAACACGGTACCGTACCTTGCATTAATACAAATCACGATAGTAATATGGGTTATTTAATCTGTTTTTGTATTGTGTAACGGCTACTTGAAAATAATCTCAATAGATTTATTGTTGATGTACCAAAAGCACACTGTCATCTGTACCTTGTATTAATTTCAAAAGACAACGGTAACACTATCATTTACAAGACAGGTAACATAGACTACTTACACATGACTTCGCCGAAGTACCAAACTTCCTTAGTATGCAACTCCACGAGAACGGGTGGCATGCATACCACCATGACAAGAAGGTCGGCTACACACAAGTTAATTAGGTAGATGTTGACGGCATTCCTAATACTCCTTCCGTAAATCACTACAGCGATAACAGCCGCATTGCCTAAAATTCCCACAATAAAAATCACCACATAAAACAGGGTTGCGAAAACCAACAGGTACACTGGTGCCTCAGGCACGGCCCCTTTACCTGACCCGGAGTTCAGATCGTTGAAGGTTTCGTTTAAATCCAAATTCACCGATAGATTCCCACTTGAGTTATTGTATCCAGTGATGGTATGTTTTGTTGGTAAAACTGTTGTAGTGTTCTGTTGTACAAATGGTCCCGTCATGGATTGATACGGACCATTCATGTTCGATCCAGGATCACAACTATTGTGCAGCTCTGGAATTGTCTCAGTATTGGTTTTACTGTTTGTTTGGCTTTGTACGCTTCTAATACACTAGCGTTACGCTGAGATGGGCGTACACATAGATTATATCACTTTCTGATAAACTGTAAGTCACCACGCTCTCCTCACGATCTTTAAGCAGTCAGCTGTATATGCATACGTAGGTACATTTGTGTATGTGCCTGTTTACAGGTAGAGTGTGTTATTATTTCTGGCGGCTTGAACAAGTAGTTTTATGTAAAATATGATTGAATGATAGGCTTTGAACTTTATGTAACATACTTTTAATCAATGTTGCATTATCACTTTTATCAAATGAATATTTATACACACACATGCGATGCGTGCAAGAAACGTTTCGTAGCACATCAGTAATTATTCTTCCATCGAAAACAAATGTTGGTTTCGTTTTATTTTGTTGAATGTCCAATAAACAGGTAATTTAAGGACTTATCCCTGTGTGTAACGTAAAGCAGGATGCTGCCGTAATAATTAGAATGAATAGTTTTTTTTGTTTTAATTTTGTTTAACGTCCTATTAACAGCTAAGGACATTTAAGGCCGTGCCTCCATGTGTGTAATGTGTGCGTGCTTGCATGTGTGTATGCAGGAGACAGGGTATGTTGTTGTGCCTGCCTCCTTGTGATAGCGCGGATCTAATACCGACTTTTTAGTGCTATCTCACTGAAATGCCATGCCGAAGGCACCAAACGCAGCATTCCACCCGGTCACATTATACTGACACCGGGTTGAGTGAATAGACCTACTGTACCCATGCTTCATGATTGTATGAGGCGACTAATACATGGGATTGAACAGAACCAGGGAGGGGATCTGCTGGTGTCACTCCCTTATTACACGGTTAGCATATGTTAATAACCTCTGCAGGTATGATGACTTTATAGGTTTAACGTTCTTTCAACAACTGTGGTCACAAGATTAAGAGTCCTATTAATAGTCAATGTCATTTATATTTCAGCTTGTATATGTGCTGTAGGCTGTATGTTGGTGTACTAGATGCTTAGTATCCCACTGTAGATTGTTGCTTGAGGCATCTGCTTTTGGGTTTCAACACAATCTCACACATGTACACTTTCACAACACACATGGATGCACGTTCTTAAATGACTTAAGCTGTTAATAGGACGTTAAACAATATAAATCTAAAACCTACAGAATCTGCTATTTCCTTCTGTTATTCCGTTAGCATCAATTTTGGCCGAAGTTTTATTATTTTCTACAGGCTTTTCTTTTTTTGTGGTATCTTACTCTCCCCCTTAACAGCGACGTATTCATTCAATCATTGAGTATATACATTACATATGTCTGTATTATATATATAATATAGCGTGCACTACATGTTTATAAACATTTTACCAGTTTTAACCGTAAGGATGCTTTTAATGTAAATGGTTTTTTTAGCTTTTTTCATATAATAAGATTTAACAACGATGTTGTAAAACATGCAAAAAGCTGCAAATAATGAAACTATTGTGATATTTTACATAAATATGCCGGCGCTTATCTTCAAATGAAACCCCTATCCATACACCTCCGTCAACATCGGCCTTTTTTTATCGTGAATGTGGTTATACGATTTTCTAAACTTAGCTTCAGTTTCATGTTAGCAATTTGTGTTTGACACCGAGTTGAATCTCGGCAAGCTAGCACGTTTATTATCGCGTTACAACGAAAGATAAAGAATAAAAAACGAAGGTCGTTTCAAGTTCAACGATTGCGAATACATGCACGCTGTTGTGGAATGTGCAATATATGAGGCGGTCGGGAGGAAAATTCCATATCAATTACATTTGATAAGTAAAATTCAACAAATCAATATAAACGGTGAAAGTCTATGAGATAGGCATGTGCATATCATGAAACACAATATAACCCAAGGCGATGCGTCTCCTGTACTATTAATTCTCAAGGGAGAATCACTAGATAGCTTGAATGAGGGTCAATGCATTTTAAAATTATAATTTTGACATTTATTGAAATTTGTAGGGCGCAAATATATCACAATCTCAATAATATTAAAATTTCTATCGATTAGGCGTATTATCACTATATGTGAAAGTTAAGTTTGATTATAGTTTGTTTAAGTTTGTTTTGGTTTGGTTTTATTTCGTTTCACGTCCTATTAACAGCTAAGGTCATTTAATGACGGCCTCCCTTGTGTGCAAGATGCATGTGTGTAGTGTATGTGTGTGTATTTCGGGAGGCTGCAATGTGTTCGTGTTTGGCACCTTGTGATAGCACGGATCTGATGCCGACTTTATAGTGCTACCTCACTGAAACATACTGCCGAAGATACCCAGCAGAACGCCCCACCCGGTCACATTATACTGACAACGGGCGAACCAGTCGTCCCACTTCTTATTTGCGTAGCGTTAAGCAGTAGTAGAAACTACCATTTTAAAGACTTTGGTATGTCTCGGCCAGGGGACAGAACCCAAAGCCTTCCTAACAGGGGCGAACGCTCAACAAATGGCCAAAAGTGAGGCATTGTCAAAGGAGACATTAGGAAGAGGAAAATAATTTAGAAAGGAGAGAAGAGATAAGGTCCCAAATTTAGTCGCTTCTTACGATCATACAATTGGGGGCAGCAGGTACAATTCTTACACCCTACCTGCCGGGGTAGGCCATATAAAGAAGACGGCTGCCCAGGGAGACGCCGCCGATAAGAATTAGGACGAAGTGAAACGATGTTTTTTGCTGGTTTATAATGGGAGGGGAAAAAGATCAATGTTAGTTTCCTCAATGAAGAATACCCCACAGGACGATCCCATCAGCGTTACCATAGCATACAGAGGGAAACAGCAGGTCTATGCTTGTTTTCTACAAGTGTTTCCTGAACAGAAGACACGGCAGAAACCACCAGTGATTCTGTATTCCGTCTTTGCGTATTGCAGAGTTATCTGCTCTTGTGAGCAGGTATTGATTGTTACGTCATTTGTTTGTGAGAGTAACGTCATCATTCTTTGAGAAAACGACATAATTTTCTAATGAACAACAAATGTTCCTTGCGATAGGACGGATTTGATGCGGACTTGATAACGTAACCAATACAAAAGAACCAATTTATTTCCGACATTTAACACGACATCGTCTTCTTTTGTCTTCCGGTGCAAACAGTAGTTCTAAATTGTGCTTTATAGTTCTACTAATCAATTACTGGGGGTTAAGGCTCCCCCTGGTGTCGTTTGAAAACAAATGCTACATATTTTTCAGGAAGAACAAAGTTATATTTTGCTCTACTGTTCTTGATCGGAAAACAATGATCGACAGTAATGAGATATACATACATGTATATACCATTATAATCTGTCTTATCCCTGATTATTAGTATCTTTATCAGTTTTAAGCCGACCTATTATAATCATCTGCGTTTACCAATTGTTGTCTGTTAAGTGCAACGACTAGGGTATAGAATGAAGACAGCTCTGTCAAAATGAGGAGATATCAACTGACTTTATTTATTTCACAGAAAAAATGTCTCCGGATTGTTTTCTCGTGAAGAATTGTAATGGCTACAAGCAATCTTAATACGGTATCTTTTTTCTTAGCCAAAACCAATTCTTTCCTTTTGTTGGAAAGGAAGGGTCAACGCCTATGGAGATTTAAAATTAGCGTCGGCCCCCGCTTGGAATTTCAAAACAAGATAAATCTAAAAAGGTTCGGGTATAGGTGGCTTAAATCAGGAACAGTCAGTTTCAGAATTCATTTTAAGATAAATGGGACCTCATTGACTTTCACCTGTGTGTGTATTAAAGTTGCGGTAATACAACTCCTTCAAGAGCATTTAAATGACACAATAACTGTAACATTATATCTTCATCGTGTTCAACATATTCCAACTGTTATTTTGATACCGAATATTACACTATTTCAAGATGGAATTGATCTTTTTATTGAAGATTTAAACAGAAAAATATAAATTACTTAACCGGTTTTGATATTACATACAAATGATCCTGCAGACAGAATATATATATGGAATGTTTTAAAAAAAGTTTGAAATATAGACTACCATTTTAACTACATATAGGCAAGTTGACAATGTTGGTTATATTTCAAATTTTGTGAATTTTTAGCATGCTTTTTTAATCAAAAGTTTCACTTAGCTTACTTCATGTATACCAATATGATATATCGAGTATCCGAATAACAGTAATTGTAATCACTATACACTATCATAATTCATTTTCAAAATAACATTCGCCTGTAATATTTATCTGTCATTTTGTCAGGATGCTTCCGTCACTCAACCTGGTATTATGCAAGGAGGTTTTCTACGGTTATCAGTAGTAATTAGGAGTAATCATTTATGCAGTTATTGATAATTTTTATGTATCTACATATGCCAAATTATTACTCCACCTTTCTTAGCTGGCAAAATTGAAATAACCGGATTGCCTTACTGGACCTTAATACTGGATGTTTAAAACTATTTGTTGCTATGGGCGTAGCTACGCATGTTGTGTAACCAAATACCCGTATCTTATCAGCGCGAGGAGGCAATGTCAAGAAACTTGATTCCTCAGGCAGATACAAATTAATGGATTTACCAATGTCATAATTGGTTTGGTTTTATAAAGTGTCACGTTCAATTAGCAGCTAAAGCCATTATGAGGACGTGTCACTATGTGTGTAATGCATGCTTGTATGTGTGATTGAGACAGGGTATACACCAGTCCGTATCATCATTCGCGAAAGAAATATTATAGTTGAAATATATTTTTGCATACAGATGACCCGTTTATTCTATTTAATTAGAGTTAGGGAAAGAGAAATATCTCCAGCTCTCAGGTTAAGAGAAAGTTACATAATCATGTGTTGTTAGCAATATTTCTTACCTAGTTCCCTGCCGTTTACCAATAATGCCTCTTATCTAAACAGGTTGTTAAAGGGACATCACGTGAAGAGCCATATTTTTTTTAATGAATGTATGTATTGTATGCACTTCCACTTATGTTACCTCGCTATCCCTATATTCATAGTCCGTTCCAAATGTCCAGTCTGACCACTTGAATTGTTCGGGAAGGCCCTGCTAAAAATAGCGCCGATAACGTCACCTAACTAGGCAGTAAACACAAGTGGTGTGAGC